TACGTTACTTGTTTCAAGTAACGGGTAACGTAGTTCCATTACTCGTTACTTTTTCTTCCTAAAATCTAAAACAAGTTCCCCTATTTTTTTCCTGTTTCTATAGTTAATGTTACCTCAAGTCTAGACGCAGCCGACGGCACGATCATGGTTTTCGTCATGTTTCTGTACGTGATCTACCTTTGCTGAACAAAACATGAACAAAAAAGGTCCATTACGTTGCACTCTTGGCGATGATTGATCGATCCCATTAGCGCGTAGCGTCGGCTGCGTCTGGTTTTAAAGGGGCCATGAAACGAATTTTGTCTTTGATAAATGATTTTGAATTGGGACTTTACTAATCGCATACCGTTTAGCTGGCCAAAAGAAAGAGAGTAGAAAGTCAAAAGCCAGCTTTTCGGGACGAACATTTGAAATTATAGCGGACTATTTTGTACCTTCTTTCCTTCGAAAGCTCTCCGACTTTTCACTGTGATACATCCGCGGTTCCCAAAACGCGTCAGCGGTGCCATCCTGACGTCAGCCGAGCCCAGCTCACGCATTGGACACGAGAACAGCGTCACTCGGACGTATGCGCTCGTCAACAATCAATCCGTCGACGAATATTCGGATTCGCGTTCGTGGCCAATGAGTGCACTGACGGAACTTATCGTCACGGGGATGACAAGTTCTATGGTGTGCATAAAAAATTGAGCGCCGAATTAGAGCGCAGCTCTTGAGGAGGAGGAGGGAAGGATACTGAGAAGGTGGGTCAAGTGACCTCGGGTGGCGGGGGGGATGGTCGTGACCTTGGGGGGTCACGTGACGTCGGGGGGTCACGTGACCTGGGGGTCACGTGACTATGCCGATGACGTCATCAGTGGCGTCACTAATGACGTCAGCAGTGACGATGACGGTGCGGATACCGATGACGTCATCAGTGACGTCACTGATGACGTCATCAGTGATGATGACGATGACGATGCGGATGCCGGTGACGTCATCGGTGATGATGACGATGCGGATGCCGGTGACGCCACTGATGACGTCATCAGTGACGATGACGTGAACGGAGGGGTCACGTGACCTCGGGGGGTATCCCCAGGTCACGTGCCCCCGGGGGGTCACGTGACCTGGGTAACCATCGTGACCCTGGTGAGGGCAACCCTAGTAACCCTTGTGAGGGCAACTCTCGTGACCCTCGTGTGGGTAACTCTCGTGACCCTCGTGAGGGTAACACTCGTGACCCCCGTGACGGTAACTCTCACAACCCTCGTGAGGGTAACTCTCATAACCCTCGTGACCCTCGTGAGGGTAACTAACCCTCGTAACCCTCGTGAGGGTCACGAGGGTTAGTAACCCTCGCAGCCCTCGTGATCCTCGTGAGGGTAACCCTCGTGAGAGTAACCCTCGCAACCCTCGTAACCCTCACGGGGTTACTCGCCGTTACGCCGACGGTGACGGCGATGGCGACGGTGACGCCGCTCAAGCCGGGAACGGGCGCCTAAGAGCTAGGAGTCATCGCACCGGTGCCGAAGAATAAAGCTAAGGAGGAAGAAGTAGGAAAATTGTTTCATGACCCCTTTAAGCTGAAGCGAAGTATAGGAGCCAAGCCTATGAAGCGGTGGTTCAACAATATTTTCGCTTTTGTGTGAATAACGCTTAGAAGAAATCCCTGTTGTTTATGAACATTGAAACAGGCGTTCGTTTTTTCCTTCATACAAATATCCTCGCAAAAGAAATTAAAGAAAAAAGAGCAACCCCTCAACTCACAGCCAGAACAAGCGGCCACGACAACTGGAGCCGATTATGTGCCGCCAAGGGTGATCACAGACACGCGCAGGGGTTGTCCAAGCGCGGGACACGCGCTGAGTTCCGGACATTGTTTGGGTTCAGCTATTGTCGTGATTGCAGCGATTGGATAAGGGCCACCACCCGAATGCTTGTCGATCTACTGATTATCGCGAGCCAAAATCTAGTGCGCACGCAATGCTCGGGTTCAATCTATGAGCCGCATTTAAATACCGCAACTAGGGAACACTGCGATTCATACGCTACGTAACCAAGTTTTGCGGAGGAGAGATTGAAAGAAATCGCGAGCTTTTATCCTTGAAATTACACCGCAACAAAGAGGTTTCTTAGTCAATGGCGTTGCGTTCAAGTATACTTGGGTACCGCTAGTGCCAGCAAACTCGTGTAAAGTTAAACATATTCCAGCTGAATATCGCTGCACCGCCCCTTTAATTATTGCGCGCAAAAAGTCTCACTTTAGAAAGAAAAACGCAGCACCCACGCCCTTCATCAAATTGTCGAAAAACGCTATCGCCAAAGAATATTTTAAAAAGAACCTTGTTGCCTTCAATTTATAAAAAGTAACATAAAAGTACCGCGCGTTACTTTTTATCGGTAAAAGTAGCGGTTAACACGTTTTTTTTTTTTTTTGCGGTAACATGAGTCATGACGCTTTCCTTTATTTTGTAATTAACGAGTGAGTTATCTCATTACTTTTTTCGGTAACGCCTAAAACACTGGTTACTACGATTTGAAACTAGGTAGCGCAAAATACCTCCCGTTACAAGAAGTGAGGTCGCTAGCTTCCGTCACCTATTTAGTGCCTCTAAATAAACTACGCTTCAGAGCAACGACACTAACCCATCCTGTGGCTTAAAAGCACGGTTGTCATTTATCTGAAGCTTCATCTGAAATCATATGAAACGCTCTTCCGCCCTCCACAAATGTTTAAACAGCTCGCGACAAAGCAAAGCAACATTAAATGAGATTCCCTACACCGTATCTAATGCTGAGGAAGTCATGACGATCGACAATTCGCCTGTTTTCAGAAGCACTAAGATGACGGTGCCCACAGCAATATCGGGGACCAGAGTGCCGATACCCTAAGCGTAGCTCAATTAGTGGTTCTATGTCTATACATCCAAGGGCCGAAGTGTCGTTAGTCTGAAGCGTAGCTTATTTAGTGGGCTGTAGGTTTCAGAACGTCTGTCTCTTCTATTTTCCGCGCAAGCTAAATAAGTAGAAACCAAGAAATGGGAGAGAGACCGAACAAGGACTCCAGAGTGTCAAGCTCTAACTTGAATGATTGGTGTGTAGAGGCAAAGCTAGCCGCCCTTGTCTCCATTCACTGTTCGAACAAGTTCACGGCAGACGTTGGCGTTCGGCGTTCGGACGCGCTCTCATCTCCTCCTCTCCTCCTCTCCTGAAATTTCTACCCTCACAGGTTTCGGTCTTGAAAATTATACCGGTGTATCACGAGTTATCTTTATCATGGCGTAACTCTATGTCTTTACGTACTGTTTGCAGTGCGCGCCGCCTGGGAACGCCAATCCCGGTACTCTACGTCTACTTTTTTCCCCCTGCTTTGAGTTTGGGATTTTAGATTTAATTTAAACTATACTTCGTCTCACCTTACCATGGACTGCTGTTAGCCCTGTATGCTAAAAGCCCGAGCTACTTGCTCAGGATAAAACCTCACCGGCTGTACGAGCGCTCGTGCAGCGAGTGCTCAAGTCAAGGCAGTCAAAGCAAGTCGCTCGCGCTTGGATATAATTCGCAGTTATTCCATCCATAGCCTCCTTTATACTAACAAAGCCTGGCAGCTCGACGACGGAGCCATAGAGTGCCTGGTCGCAGATTCGGAGTGCGAGGATCTGATAGCACAGAGCATTTCTCGGTGAACCTGGAGGTCAGCGCACAGCTTTTGCAGTGGCGAAGAGCCGAAACATGGTTTTTAAACGCGACGAGAAAATGAGCGGTAGCGCGAGGAACGCGAGGAGCACGAGCAAATATTCTATCACTCGGGAGAAGTGTGTTTCGGTGTCTCGCCGCAGCGGGGCGCCCGTCACGTGGCTCTCCTCTCATCCCGTGTCTGCCGCTCTACCTTTTCAATTTCGGCGGGTGCTTCTCGTGGCGATCTCCCAGGCTTTGACAGTATAGAGAAGGTATGGTCCATGCTAAGGTGAGACGAGGTATATCGAAAGTGAACTATTTTGTTTTACGGCGCACCTCTGCAGTACTAACGTGACAAAGCGTTTTAGTAGGCATTACATTTCTAACACAGCTTCGTAGCAATGTTAGACAGTAAATCGTTGACGATTACATCTACCTGTCCTTACTCAACTCGACATTCACAGAACACCCGAAAACTTCACTTCTCTATTCGTCCCTATGTCTTACTTCTGGCTATGTAAATGAAACCCCTTGTGGACAATTTGTTTTCCCAACGATATTTCGCTGTTTCTGTTTTACCAAGTAACTCCAAGTGACCAGCGTGCATGGCTTGCACTGATGGTACATTAGCAGCCATTATGGTGCCCTTGCTGGTGAGCGCGTACATTGTGCAGCATACATTTCGTAACATCAAATTTGTTGTTTTTTTTAGAAAAAAAAAACAAGTATGAATTATCACCAGCCTGTTGCGATGACGCCACGTGCTAGTCATGTACGTGATGAACCAAAACCACCAAGAATGCAATGCCTGGAAATGACATCATCGCTAGTGAATTCATGAACTCCACGCGGCAAGCGCGCTGAAGCTGGACGGGATTACATGGGAAACCGACAGATCCGTGGGCCTTGGCGGCGCCATGTGCTGGCATCACGCTCATAGTGAGACGCTGCAATACGCGCTGCCGACGACGCTGATGCGAGCTAGGCGACATTTCGCCGGAAAAAGCGCAGGCCTGTTGTTCCCCTTCCGAAATCAAAAGCCGTTCTCGATGAGCGGTTGGGGGCTTTTCCGACCATCCACCCTTCTATGCAATTGGAGCGTTTGGGTGACAACGCGCGCCACCTAGGAGCGATGTAGGGCGGCGTCTGCCCGTTGGTGGTGGCCACGTCTGCGCGTGCCCACCGGGCCGGGGCGTCTGCGGGCAGTCGGGGATCTCGGGCGGGCGAGGCCTAGGACGTCATAGCGGACGGTGACGCGGGACCCAGGGTTAGGCACCCTTGGTGTGTGGTGGGTATGACCGATGCCCAAGGTTTCAGACCCCATAACGCTGGGCTCAGGACTAGCTGAGTTGCGATCTACACAGGCAGCACAGGTGGTGTCCCAGCTGTCCGTAGAGGCCCCCCTTGCGCCGCCACTTGAGCAGGCCCTCCTCAATCAGGGTCTTGCCTGCCGAACAAGGAAAACAACAGCCGTGACGTCACGGTGACGCGAACACGTACACCACCATGATTGTGCACCCAAGAATCAAAGAACTTTGGAGCGTTTATTTGCCAGAAAAGCATTTGAGAGAGCCAATTGCTGGTGTATGTGAAGCGAGTCTACCCCGTGACATTAAACTTAGTGAAACCTCATGCTCGGTGTCAAAACGCGCAGACTATACTTGGTTTCACCTTAAGTCCAGACGCAACCGACGCTACAAGCTGATGGGATCGATCAGATAGCGTCAAAAGCCAACCGTCATTGTGTTTTTCATGTATCGGTACGTGTTCAATCATCGCTGAAACAATCATAAGCAAAAAAGGTCCTCTGACTAGCGCTTTTTACGCCGCTTGATTGGTCCCATTACCTCGTAGTGACGGCTGCATATGAACTTAAGCTCAAACGTACTCTACATATATTTCGAGCCCCGTCCGTGTATAATAGCCACTGGCTATCCCAAGTACGTTGCGAGAAGGTAGACGCACCGGATTTCTTCGGGTGAACAATACTCTCAGCGTGATCTGTGAACACTTCTCCGGGAGAGGATTAAATAATATTTGGAACCGATCATTTCGGCATATGATGGGGATCGGGAATTTCCCGGCACCAGAATCACTAAACCTGCATCGCGCATACGTGATTTACAAAAGTCTAAAATAAATTAAGACATCTAAAAGCATTAGTTAATAGGCTGTCACTTTGTTAGATGGCCAGGTTTATTTAGAAAATTTAAAACGCAATTGAATATACAAAAACCTGATTGGTAAGCAAAAGGTATGAAAAAAGCGAGAGCTAAGCTCTAAAACGGGCTGGAAATTATGTATGTGTAGGGCTGAAAATCTTAGAATTTGCAGTAGCAAATAATGCGAAAAAAAGTCAGCCCTCTGCCACAGTGGTTACTCAACACTGAACATGATTAAAATTGCGCACAAAGAGACGAGGACTAACGAGGAAGGAACATAGAACACAGACAGGCGCGCACTCACAACTCTAGTATATTAATTGAAGAAGAGAAAGATGAAGCACTATTTTTACAGGGGACTCAATTTGGCATCCACACCCCATCGCAAATTTAAATGAGCCAATTGAGAATGACAAATTCTGGTGAACTGTAAAACGTTAAGGCATGCGTGTAGTAACCCAGATAAAACCCAAAATCAAGCAAGAGGACGTCTAAAGGGCATGCGTGTGACGTTCAAATATCAGACGTCTGTAATACTATGTGTTCCGTCAGAGAAGTATCATGAGCTGTTATATTTTCTGAGTCGAAGGAGTGATTGTACGCCTACTTTATCCTACTGTTTAACAAAGTAATCTAAACAATTAGTCACAAATGCCATAGTTGAAAATGACGTTGTGAATAAACACTCGTTTAGGCGCATGGACATTTATGATAATCTCAATCGAATTCGTTGAAGCAAGTTCAAGCTTGGCAGGTTTTCCAGAAAAGCTTTCGAATGCTCCAGTGAGACAGTGGCTCGTCATGGGGTGGCGAACATGATTACTGTATTTGCAAGCTCCTGCATTGTTAATTGCTATCCATATTGTTGTAGTATTCGTGTAAATAGAATCGCTGCTGTCCGAATACTTCAGGTTTATTGGACTGGAACTGAGCGATTTGTGGACTGTCTTGCCCCACCGGCAGCTCAAGGTACATGCGTCCTGCTCGGAGCTCACGCACTCTAGCCAAAACATCGCTCTTTTTGTTAGCTGCGCGTGTGGAGCTATGCTGTACATAACACTCCTTCCCCCTCTAGACGCTGTCCTTATGTCTTTGAGGACGCCGTCTTGGACGTTTTGGTCTAGAAGAAGTCGCTGGTAGAACCATTTTCGTATTGGGAGGGACATCAATCTGAATGTCTGGAACATCTTGTTCCTTGGTTGGCACTGGATCACCATCTATTGTAACGGCCCACTGGGCACGTAAGCCTCGTGGGTCATTATTGCTGGCGTATGCTGTTGAAGGTGGTTCAACGAACGAATGTCTCTGAGACTCTTCCTCACGGTTTCTTACATGATCCTGGTGCCGTTGTACCCTGCCTTGGGCTGTCTTAATGATCCAAGAACAACATCCGAGCATATTGTTAACTGTTCCTGAAATCCACAGCAATTAGCCCGAGAAGTTTCAAATAAAAAATGAAAGCCGTTTACAACTCCCTGCAACACCGAATTAGAGCGCAGCTCTTGTGGAGGAGGAGGAGGGAAGGGTACTGGGGGTGTGAAGTGACCTGGGGGGGTCACGTGACCTGGGGGGTCACGTGACGATGCCGATGATGTCATCAGTGACATCACTGATGACGTCATCAGTGACGATGACGATGCGGACTCCGATGACGTCATCAGCGATGATGACGATGACGATGCGTATGTCGGTGATGTCATCAGTGACGTCACTGATCGCTGATGACGTCATCGACGTCACTGATGACGTCATCAGTGATGATGACCATGACGATGCGGATGCCGGTGAGGTCATCAGTGACGTCACTGATGACGTCATCAGTGATGATGACGATGACGATGCGGATGCCGGTGACGTCATCAGTGACGATGACGTCATCGGGGAGGTCACATGACCTCTGGGGGTCACGTGACCTCGGGGGTCACGTCACTTTGGGTGTCACGTGACCTTGGGGGTTACGTGACCCTGGGGGAGGGGTCACGTGACCTCTGGGGGTCCCGTGACCTTGGGGTGACCTTGGGATAACCTTGGTTACGCCGACGCCGACGCCGCTCAAGACGGGAACGGGCCCCTAAGAGCTGCGCTCTAAAACATTTTGACCAAATGAACTCTTGCTAGGGGACGGCGCTGGTTGGGACGCTCACTTATTTCTCCCTATTTCTGCTGGCTGCAGACGAGAGATCGCCGTCGACAACTCACGACCAAACATAAGCATGGCCGGTGGTTATTGCTTTATTTTATTTTTATTTTATTTATTTTCTTATTTATTCGGGGGGGCGGTTGTGAGATTGATTGTAGTGTGTTGCTTAAAGCCGACCTGCAAAATCATTTTCCGCAAGGTAGAAAAATCCTCCTCGTCACCCTTCCCATTTGCTTCTCTCCGACTTTAACTTGACTCCTTTTGTTGTTATCTTGGGGCCGGATAAGCTGGGTGCTTATCCCGGCTCAACTAGCTCTAACAAAAAGAATCTCCCTCCGTCAAGATAGCAGATGGATAAAGGATACGTAGAAACGAAAAATTCCCCTCCTTTTTTTTTTACACTGCCCTTTGCTTGGTTTTATATGCCATTTTTTTCCGCTTCCCGTTTGTCGCTGTATAGTAGGGGCTTTACTGACGTAGCGAATGCTGTTATTCTTGAAGAATTGTTCAGTTTCGGCCGACGCCAACAATGTGTCATTCTCGCTGACAACCTTTCGCGGCATTCTGAATGTCTCAAACAAGTTGCGTAGCTCTTGAATTGGTGATGTCGAGTTGATAGTGTTCACGTGGCGCACTTCCAGCCATCTACCGAAGACATCAACCTCTATTAGTAACATTTTGTCTTCGGCGGGTGCGGCAAAGTCGACATGTAGTGTGTTCCATGGTTTGATGGTCGTTGCCATTCCGGAATGGATTCCTCGGGTGGTTCCCGTTGGTGCCGTTAGCGCGTAAAGCCTGTTCATGCGTTGACTTTGATGTCATTGTTTACCGCGGGCCACCAGACATAGCCTCAAGCAGCCGCCGTCATTGTCCCCATGCATCGATGATAACCATAAATTGGAGCACCTGAGCTCTTGCGGCACAGAGAATAATTACCCTTGTCCCTCTGGTCAAAGAGCCATTGAGAGTCGACAATTCGCTCGCAATACCTTTGTATGGCTTGCATTCGTAGTAGTTCAACTTACTCAACCTTTTGTGATGTATGGCAATGTAACCGAGTCTTAAAACTCTGTCTTGATCAGTAGTTACAAAATGCGTTCTGGAGATAGTTGAGGAAAAGGCGAGCAACCTAGCATTAGTAAATCGCCTGATACGCACCGCTCGTCGACATCAGCAGGTAGTGGCTGCCTGCTGAAAGCGCCCGCATTTTGATGTGAACGTCCTCGTGTATAGTTGTAAGCACTGAGCTTGATACACCATCTGGTCGTACGTGGAGATAAAACTTGTGGCAAGATTTTTGAGCCTCCAAGTATTCTCAAAAGACGCTGATCGTTACTGTAGATGGTCACCTGCAGTGTCGTCCAGCGTTGACCTAATGAAAGTGGCATACTACATAGACGATTGGGATTCCTTCCTTATCCAGCTGGGATTATTGTCTTTTGAAGACCCTTGTGTCCTTGACGCAAAGACGATCGGAGCCTCGCGTCTTATAGCATCCTCTTGAGCCAGGACCGCTCCTATTCCCTAAGGAGACGCGTCGCTAGAAAGCAACAGGGCCGGGTTAGTTCTCATCATAGCGTGCAAGCACCATTGATTCCTTCACCATCACCTTGAGTTTCCGATATCCTTCCTTGTGACTCTCCTTCCAAAACCACAGAACATTCTTCTCTACAAGCTTGTACAAGTCCGTTTCGGTTGTTGCTTTGTTATTGAAAAAGCGATCGTAAAACGCCAGCAATCCTAAAAAACGCTTGCAGTTTAAATTTTTCTGTAGGCTCTGGAGCGTCAAGGATCGCTTGCACCTTGTCAGCAGTTGTGTGAACTACTGAAGCGTCAGTCCTGTGTCCCAGGAATTTAGCTTCACTGACTGCGAACTTACACTTCCTTCTTTTTTTAGTTTCAGTTCGGAGGTGTCTAGTTTCAACAGTACTTAATACAAACATAGATTATGCTCACCTCTTGTAGCTCCTCTGCTAGTTATGTCGTCTAGGTAGCCGCTTATCCCTTGTATGCCAGCTAGAGCTGTTTTCATCATCCGCTGAAACATCTCTGGCGCTTCTGAGATTCCAAATAGAAGTGGTGTCACTCTATAGAATCCTTTGATGGCGTTGATAGTCAGGACCGCAGTGGCGGCTTCCGTTACCTTTAGCTGCTTGTACCCTTGGCACAGGTTCAACGTGAAAAAGATGGCACTTCTTCTGAGAGGTGAAAGTACTTCTTTCGTCGTTTGTAACTGATAGGTTTCTTTCTTCGATGTGGACTTTATCGTGCTCCCTTAGTCACCGCAGAGTCGGGTTTCCCTGCTCGTCTTTCGGACGAGAGCGAGCAGTGTAGCCCATTCATATTGCTGGACTGGCTCAAATATTCCTTGATACTCTAACTTTTGGAGCTCGTTTGTTACAGCTGACCAAAGAGCAAGAAGCACCGAGCGAGCTTGCAAACCTTTGGCGTGGCTCCCTACTCTATCTTCAAATTCACTGGAGGTCCCATGCATCCAGAGATGTCATATTAGAACACCTTGGGATATCGTTGAAGCCCTGCTTCAACCTTGGTTTGCGTGGACGGCTGCTGCACTTGGTTCATCCCTTGTACCCTGATATGAAGTGCGTCGAACTAATATTTGCCCAAAAGGCTGCAGCCAGAGCCTTTTATCAGCAGAAGTGGCAAGAAGTAATCCTTCGACTTCAAGCTCACACGAAATTCAAGTGACCCAAGAAGTTTCAGGCCTTCACCACTCCAAGTATCAAGTTCTAAATCGTTCTTCATGATCTGTGCCGGATTCTTGGGCCAGGTTGAACGAAACTTGTTTTCACTAATCAACGAACAAGCGGCGCCACATTCGACCTCGAACTGAAGTTATTTACCTTCAATTTGAAGTAGAACCTGAAACTTCAGAAAGTGACTACGTGTGGACAGCTTATTTAGTTTATAGAATAAGCACTTGGAATAACACGTTGGATTACTCGTCACTCCGTATATGCCTCAAAGTTGTGATCAGTTTTCTTTCGACTTGTTTTCTTGTGGAGTTTTCTTTTTGCGATACACGGCTTTTGGGTGAGACCATTATTTTTGCAGTATCGACATTGTATTTGAAATCGGCAGTCTTGCGGTTCATGCTGGTTCTTGCATCGGGAGCACCGACAATTTGCAAAGCAGCATCATTGCTTTTTTTTTAGAGATTTTTCTCGTTCTTTTTATGTCTTTTGGTTGTATTGAGACGCTTTCTCCTCGGTTGGCGAGGTCCAGGGCGCTGGAGAGCGTAAGGTTTTTCTATGCAAACAGGCGCTGTTAGAGAAGCTCGTCGTGGAGGCCGCAAACGAACTGGTCGCGCAGTATTACGTCAAGCGGCAGTTGGATGTGCCGCTGTGGCGCTGCTGGTTTCCCAGTCGCAGCCGCTGCACCAATTGCTTGAGATGACGCTGATTGCGCTGGTGCCGCAGTGGAAGCAGCACCGTCGATGATGCAACAGACGTAGCTGCGGAGTCATAAGATTCCGATGTTACGATTTCCAGCCAGGTGTTTGAGAGCCTCACCGTGGCCGTTCATCGACTCCTCTGATAGTTGGTCTCGCCGCTCAAACGTCTACCGGTTATACAGCTCTGAAGGTTAAGTGTCAAAGTTTCCGCGCAGGACTGTCACGAGTCCATCAAACTTAACACCGCCGGGTCCTCTGGGTGCAATTAACACCCGTGCGGTTTCGTAAGTTTCTGGACCGCAAGACATTAGTAGAAGTGCTCGCTCGTTGTCCATGGATCCGATGCCATTCGCCACGAAGTAAAAACCGAGGCGTTCTGTCGTTAAGAGATCCACGATGTCCGTGACTGGCTTGAGAAGGCTACTATTTCTTCTTGAGTAGCCATGGCTAGTTTTGGGTTGTTCCGGGCTTCGCAGGTTCTTAATTTCTCGTCACCAGTGTAGTATTCGAGTAGATAAAATCCCTACTGCCCGAATACTTCAGATTTATGAGCATGGCGCTGAGCGATTCAAGGACCGGCTAGCACGTGGTACATAAGACCCGCTCAGAGGTGACGCGCTCTCGGCAGAAAATCGATCTTCTCTTGTTAAAACTCTGCGTGTTGAGCTACGCTGGACATAACACACACACTAAGTATGACTTCCTCCAATAGACCCTTCCCGAAATTCAGTCTGGCCACTTTGATCACTATCATCATCTGTGGAACGGCATCTGTGCCATACCAATGGCGGCCTCCTAGTGACTGATAAAGGAAGACGTTGAAGATGCTCCTAAGCGGATCTTGCGAGGCCTGTACATTCGGGGTGTCAGTACGACGCGACGTCGGAATGGAACACAAGAGCTACGTAAGCGTTTATTTCTAATAACTCAGATTTAGTCAATCTGTGGGCGGCACACAATCGGCTTTAAAGCACTTTGGTGTATATAACTTTCTCGAGGCATCTGAGTTGGTTGTAGCTTTGTTCTGAATGCAGGTTTTTGGTCATCATCGAACTGAAAGTGATCGAGAAAGAACTCACACTGGACAATTCCTCGCGTGCCATTGACTTGCGAAAGTGGTGGTGCCGATACAAGTTCAGTTTCGCCATTGATATGGCAAAACCTAAACTGCTTTACAAACCACCAGATGGCACTGAATTTCGGAAAGGGTCTATTGTGGTCGTGCGTAATCTTGATATGCCTAGGTGCACACGCGAAGCGTATTAGTTAAAAAGCGGATCCGGGGTGGAGCTTTATGTGGGATTCTATGGGGTGCCCAGTCATGCTCGACAAAATCCGGAGGGAGTCGTGTTCTGTGTTGACAGCCCTTTAGGATTTCAATATCTTTAGTAAGCCCGTGTTCCATAGACTACGTCCAGAAATTCCTACATGCAACACTGCGCGCGTTGCGTTACAGGACCTCTTTGGCCATAGAGAGGAATGGCACGGTTTCGATTTCGATTGCCCCGTTGACGAAGTGGTACACCCTGACCAGTGCATAAAAATAAATTCACAACTCGCCTGCAAGGCACCCCTTCATTTTGTTAGAGCCCCCGTCGAACCACGAAACCTCTAGCGGCCGCAAGGACCTGCCTAGAATTAGCGGAGAGTAGAGGTACGGCCTGTCGCGTCCCATAACTCTCTGGCGGCTTGGCTACCATTCCAGAGTGTAGCTTGACCCTCCCGGCTAAACTGATGTCTGAGTACACTTTTTCCATGCGCCTTCGTGCACTAACTGGAACATCACGAGCACCTCCAGAAAACATGCCCCAGAGTTTTATCCGTATAGTTAGGCAAAATCTGGGGTACTATAATTTTAAGAAAAGTCACACATTCAAAACTGCAAGCAATGTACTTGGTCGTGACGGGATCTTGTGAAGCGAGGTTGACAAATCGAAACCGAAACTGCGGCCAAGGAATAGCAAAGGGGAACGGCACTACGTCGCTAGGATTGCTTGAATTTCGCAAGTGTATACGTCAAAACGAGTATTCATATTTCATAAAAGCCCAGAAAGTTAACATGAAGCAAAGGAAACAAAAGTCTTACAGTTGGTTTCGTGTGGCATGAACTCCTGCATTTCGACCAGGACCGTCTGTACATTCTCCCTGTCTCTGCATGGGAAGGAAAAAAGTAACATTTTGTCAAGGGTTATTGCTACAAGTAATTTTGCAAACTTCTATCGAACCTTCAAACTTTTGGCAAACTTTGGCGAGGTTCCACTTCTTATTCAGTGTTGTCTGACCGACAGAAACTTTTGAAAATTTCTAGGAGTATTTATTCAGTAACTTGCTTTCAATTTTACTGAATCATGATCAATGTTCGCACAATATAAATGCAGTGGTTTAAACTTTTAAATTATGTATTAATTGCGTTCAAATGCTGAGCCCCTCCTCCGTCAGCTGGTGTCAGTGCGTTTTCAATTTATCCGAATGCTCAAAATAGTCTAACTTTTGTCAAGCATTCGTTAAACATCAAGTAGAAAGTTCGAAAAAATGAAACCTCGTTGACCTCACACCTTCGCAGGTTTTTGGTGTCTCTATATTCCGTTTTATTTTATGTGAAAGCGCTGCGAACGATACTGCCTATAAGGTTAATCAAGCTTCTCGGAAATCTTTAGATGGCGACATGTTCCGTCTTTCTGCGCGTGAGTTGCTGCCAACTGATCCAACCAAGCATGAAGAATGCGTCGTGACATCGTGTTTTTCGTCTGCGCGTCTGTGTTTCTGTAGCAATGAGCTCCTGACCCGGCTCATACTTAAGGGGAAACGAAGTATAGCTGCCACACACCAATACAGAGTAACAAGCCTCCGGTAGAGCACTCTCTCAAAATGGAGACTTGGGACAAACAGTCAGGCTTAGAAAACAAAGCACTTCATAAAACCATCATCTCGTTTTAACAGTGAATGACAATACCTTTGTCATTCACTGTTTACCGAGCCTGCGCTTCTTAGGGTTTTGGGTTCGTGTGCAATTCGTGTGGTGACAAGAATGGCCAAAGACCGACAATGGTTAGAGCAACGCCCACGCTCTGAGAACACAGACACGGGTTCGGGCTTTCAAAAAAAATCAGCGACACAACACATCGACTTGCATACAGGGTCGCGTGTGCCCACAACAGGTGTTGGGCACTGCGCGTGCGATGAAACCATATTCGCTGTTGAGAAACCGTTTGCGCATGCGCAGTGCCGACAGCAGTGCATGCCACCACGGCGGCGTGACGTCAGAGCATAGAGTTATTATAATGTACGCTAGAGGTTCAACTGGCGCTAGTGTCTATGCGACTTCCGTGACGCAAATTGAAGCAGACAGCAACCAGTCTACTTTTGCGGTGCTCCTGTGCATTCCTATGGGAAAACGCGCGCGCATTTTGTCTCTTCGCCGGAAAATAACACAAAACACTTTGGTTATTTGGGTTGTACCGAATAGTATGTACCTTGATTAACATTGTAAAAGTGTAATTACTTTAGTTAGCGCATTTGTCTTCATTAGTGAACGATGTTTAACTTCGCTACATTTCAGTCTCGAACGTGTGTTCCACAGCACGTATGTAAAAACAAGCGACGATTCAAAGCAAAATTACAATGGAAAGGAATATAGAGTGTGTTCAAGGCTCGCCAGCATTCCGGTGACGCTTACATATTGATAATATGCCACTCCTGTCACTATATGAAAATGACCCCGTCGTGCATGAGCAGATAAAAACATTAAAAACGTAGAGAATAAAGTCCGTGGGATATGAAAGGTGTCTCTTTGTGTTGTTTTCTCTGCCGGGCAGCTTTTATCGGGCACTTGTTCTCCAAGATTTCGATCGTGCTGGTGATATTTTGAAAGTAGAAGTTCGCACAGAGCAGAAAGAATAAAGCGGTATTTCCTTATTTAAAATCGGAATATATTACGTGGCCTTCCATTTATTTTGATTGTACATGCACTGGTACTTACTGATCCAGTGTTACTGAGTAGTTATTGCCGTCTCTTTTGGCTTTCCAGATGTCCTTCGTTCGTCTGGCACGTAAATCCCCCACGCTGAAAAGCGCCGACGTCGTGTTCGCGCTAACAGTGTCCGACAGTGCACATAAATACACGTACGAAACCGTCTTAGCGCCGTTTTTAATGCAACGAACTTCAAAGAAAAACGCAGAAACTGACCTATTATTTCATCGGCCTGATTGAGGAAGGTTCCAAGCTGCCTAGTACGTACGAATTATTCGGGATGTTTGCTTTTATGATTGAGCGCAGGGAGAAAATGCACTCACTTTTTCCCATAGAAATGCATTACCGGAAGTCAGTTTTCGACTGGTTGCTGTCTGCTTCAATTTGCGTCAGCACACTAGCGCCACTTGAACCTCTAGCGTACATTATAATAACTCTATGCGTCAGAGAGTTGAGTTTGTGTATACTCCACGTGTCGTGTAACCTGACATCACGTGACGTCAGGTCACGTGACGTCTATTTCCCCCGCGAAAATTAGACGGAAGCTGAATTGCTCTCAAGGAAACAAGACGTGAATTGTTTCTGTTTCGCTAAATTTAGCGGATAAATAAATTGGTCTATACGTCACGTGATGTCAATTTCGCGCTAAATTTAGCGGGGAAACGGATTTGACGTTTCGGACCCAATGCGTGAACTTTTCCGCTAAATTTAGTGGGGAAACTCAGTTGACGTATAGACCTTTTTCTCTTACTCTCGTCCCCAGCCACCTAATAGGAGTATCCGGTATGGGCGAGCAAGAAATAATAAAACGTTTCATCCTGCGAATAGTAAAAATACAGAGGGGAGGCAAGAAGAGAATGCGTGACGGTTACAATTATATCCTACATGTCCTCTATTGGCATAGCAACGGCAAAACAACGTTTTCGCCCATACTCGAAGTGACAATATTTTGAGATAGCGACGCCCTTGTGACCAAAGTTTATACGTCACGTGGCGTAAATTTTCCCAAAGTATTCGGGTCATGTTACGTCAAGTGACGTTACGTGACACCCCTACGCTCCCAAATTTAGCGGGAAAACTGAATCGATGTATAGGTTACGTCACGTCAATTTTTCCGCCAAATTTAGGAGGGGAACTGAATTGGTCTCTACGTCCCGTGACGTAAGATCACGTGACATCAATTTTCTGGCTAAATTTAGCCGAGAAACCGAATTTTTGTATCGGTTTCGTGGTATCAGTTTTCCCGCTAAATTTAGCTGAAAATGCACGCACGGACGGACACATTTTTTGAAGGGGGGTAGCGCTAAAAAAAAATTTTATGCTTTAAAAAACGCATTATGTAGGCCTTTCTCCGTCAGGCACGTCGGCAACAGCTGCTCGCTTTTGTTACCTACAAGTCACCTACAAGGCGACTTGTGCAAAGTGACTTGTACAAGCCACCTACAAGGTGATAGTGACAGGCTGAGAACGGCAGTGGGGAGCTTCGGTTGTCCCGCGTCCTGCGCGAGCTTCGCACCTTCGGCAACGCCTCGGCGTCTGGCGCACCTCGAGCGCGCACACGCAGCGAAAGTACGACCGAAGGCCGAGAGCACGTGCTGGAGGCCGAACGTTCTAAAGACACGCCCTGACGTTCTCACTTTTGCTTCGCTCGATTTTTCTGCACCTCCTGCCCCGGTGCAGAAAAGTGTAGGGCAGTGTGCATCCCGCACGACCGGAAGCGCACCGCCCTACACCTTTCTGGCACCGGTGCCTCAGGAGGTGCGGGTAAATTGAACGAAGCTTTTGTCGATGACTATAGTAGCATGGATCTTACGGAACAAAGCGCTAGAAGTTGCGTTCGATCCGGTCTGAAGTTCCGGGAGTCGAATCGTACCTGTCGATGGCTCGCAGCTCTTCCACGTGGTAGTCTTTCGGAGGCGGTCGCCAGAGCACCAGTTTGTCCAGCACCGTAACTCCTGAACCTGCGGGTTCTGCGCAAGCGCAGATGGTGCAACGGAGAAGATGAGCAATTATTATGCGCGAACACATAATTCGATGGGCGGTGCAATGATAATCAGTTAAAACTTTTTTTTTGCACTGGCATCACGTGAGACTTCAATATATTCGCACACGACGCCACTGACCAAGAAACTTTTTTGTTGTGTAAGTGCAAGAAAAATAGCGGGCGTTATTTTAAGAGCCCAGCTCTTAGGCACCCGTTTCCGCGTTGAGCGGTGTCGGCGTCGGTGTCGCCGTCGGCGTAACCGCGCGCGTTGCATTATGAAACGTCACAGCTTCCCCGCAAAAATTTAGCGGGAAAACTGAATTGGTGTTGAGGTCATGTGACGACAGCTTACCGCTGAATTCAGCGGAGAAACTAAATGCGCAGTTTAATTATAATGCAATTAAATGCAAAGGTGCAAGCGAGCTGGACAAGAAGGACGAAAATAATCCCTGGAGAAGGGGAACAAGAGGTACAAAGGACAAACAGAAATCTCCAAACACAGCTAGGTGACTGGTGCGCGACCGAAAAAATCCACCTGGTCCGGGTGTCAAACCCGGGACCACTTTCGGTCGCGCACCAGTCACCTAGCTGTGTTTGGAGATTTGTTTGTCCTTTGTCCCTCTTGTTCCCCTTCTCCAGGGATTATTTTCGTCATAAATGCGCAGTGTTGCATTATGGGACGTCACAGACCTAGGGTGCCTACATGTTTCCGCCGCTCCGCTGTTTAGGGTGGCGACAACGTTTGTGATACCTATTGCCGACAAACAAGTGTTGTCTACCTCGTCGCCATGGCAACCTCCGCTGTTTTCGTCGACCATTTTGTCACACCCGCCGGTAGTGCACTCGGACTACGACGCTAGTCCTTGTTAGGGCTAGGGAGCGCTCACCGCTCTCGTTCCGACGGCGACGTTTCGGTGTTCAATGCCGGTCTGTTGCGTTCCATTTTGTCGCGGGAACTCGCGTTTCGATAAAACCAACGCACACTTCCTGCTCGCAACTTCAATATATGAAACACCCGAATAAAGAGAACGGCAGCCATGACGACCGCCATCCCGCTGAGCCTCCGACTCCTCTTATGAACGGAAACGGAAGTGGCCTCACAGTGTTGCCGATGTGTCGAGACTACAGAAACTCAATGTTCTTTACGTTTAGCGAAATAATAAGTGGGAAAAAATTTTGGTGGGAGAGGATCTGGGAAAGGGTAACAAGAAGTTGTCGCCACCCTATAGCGGAGCGGAAACATTAGGCACCCTACACACACCTACACATCAATTCAGTTTCCCTGCTAAATTTAGTGGTGAAATTGAATTTGTGTTAAGGTCACCTGGCGTCATTTTTCCAGCTAAATTTAGCGGGAAGCTGTGGGAGGAGGGGAGGGTATGGCGGAGGAGGAGGAGAGGGTACGGAGGAGGGGAGGGTACGAAAGAGGAGGAGAGTGCAGAACCAGAATGTGAGGATAGTGACCTATATGTGTACACTCATATATATTACTTTCTCAAATTGTTTAGCCCGGTATATCGCAAAACCAAAATACCTAAAGAGCTGCGCTCTAATTTCGCATTACAGAGATCAGTAAACGTATTTAATTTTTAGAGCGCAGCTCTTAGGTGCCCATTTCCGGCTTGAGCGGCGTCGTCGGCGTCGCCGTCAGCATAACATGCGCGTTGCATTATAGGATGTTTCCCATAATGAGGTCCCACGTGACGTCATGTGTGACGTCACGAGGGTTGCCCTCGTGAGGATTAGGAGGAATATTTTCACGAGGGTTACGAGTTTAACGTCATGACGTTACTCCCGTGACATCATTATAAGAGACACGTGATGTATAACATGACATGTGACGTCACACGCATTTAAAATTGCCGATATTCCTGTTAAATTTAATGGAGAAATTTGTACGCTAAATTTGGAGGCAAAATATTCACGCTAATTTTACCCTCATGACGTCACGTGTAACTTGACGCTGAATTCTCCCGCTAAAATTAGCGGGAAAGAAAAAGGGGCATACCCTCCCCCCGTATCCTTCCCTACTCCTCCTCAAGAGCTGTGCTCTAATTCGGCGTTGCAGAAAACTGTAAACGTCTTGATTACAATGCTATTAAAGGCAAAGGTGCAAGCAAGCTGGACAATAATGACGAAAATTATTCCTGGAGGAGGGGAACAAGAGGGACAAAGGACAACTGCGAATCTCTACACACAGCTAGGTGACTGGTGCGCGACTGAAAAAGTGCGCCTGGTCCGGGTATCGAACGGGGACCTCTTCATTTGCAGTGGAGCTCTCTACCAACTGAACTAACCAGGGGTTGGACGTCAGTAGAGCAAACGGCTTTTATCAGCTGCCACCTGTCTAACACAAAGAAGGGTGAAAGCTTTGTTTCGCAAAACTTGACGTAGCTCGGAGGTCGCAGCGTTAGCATAGGCCGTCGATTGAAGATGTTTGAATGTGGCTCATTGATTGAACCCGAGCATTGCGCATGCAGCCGATTTCGACTCGTGACAAGCACTTGGATAACGGCTCGTGTCCAACCGCTGCAATGGCGACAATTGCCGAACCCTAACAATCTGTAGAACTCAGTGCGTGCCTTGTGCTTTGCCAACCTCAGCGCGGGGCAATGATAAACCCTAGCTTAGTTGGATTTGCATGCACCTCATGCACCGATGCAGAAAACTGTAGGGCAGTGTGCTTTCGTTGTCTGTATTGAGATATGACTGGAAGTAGACCATCCTACACTTCTATGCACCGGTGCAGAACAGCAGGTAAATTGAACGAAGCTATTGGCGGCATACAATTTGTTCATATCACGTGGCCGCGTGCTCTGGCTGCGAAATTAGAGGGGTAGAGCGCTGCTTGGTTTTCATTACCTTTTTTGCGACTGCAATTTTGTAAAGAGAAAAGCTAACATGGGGTACATATGGTATAAATGTCAGGGATTCACTCAAATTAATTGTGTAGTATGCATGCTTAAGCAGCTGGAAGAGTCCTTCTTAATATTCGTCTGGTGCCTTAGCTGTAGATAAGAACTTTAGCCAATGCAGTACAACTACTAGCCAACACTCTAAAAAAGGGTGTAGTCTTACACCCACCAAAACTTAAGTCCGACGTACAGTGCACTGTCGTGGAACTGGCGGGTCGATATTTTACAAGGGGCGTTATAAAAGTGCGATAAAACTTTAAAAAAATCTAAATCTCCAAAGACTACGAAAATAACACTGAGGGTTTGCAGTAAAGCCAAGAAAATTTCGATCATTTTTTAGTCAGTAACACATATATTAGCTATTTTATTTAAGTGGTATCATTCATCTATCAAGCCGCTCGAGAAAGTTACTACAGTCGGTTCGACATCAGTGCACTGAATGTCGAACTGAAGTTTTGGCGTGTATTATTTGGGACAAAGAGCGTAAGACTAGCCTTTTTCTTCTGAATGTTGAGTCTTTAACGTGCACCACACAGTAGGGATACACGAGCACTATAAGCGTTATTTGCGCAAAGTACAAAATCATTGCACTGCCCCTTTAACGAACGCATCTCCGCAGTGTCTGCGGGAAGGGTCCCTTCATTACAAAGATGGGAAAAGTTGGACCACCTCCACTAGTGGTCGTCCTTGTTTCTGAAAACCATATATGTGAAAGTTTCCGGCCAAAGGGTAAGACATTGTCACCACGAGAAAGGGTATAGCGGAAGGCACCCAAACATAGGCCTCTCTATGCAATTCACAAATAAAATGAAGCTAACGGCAAAGAGGCCAAATATATACCTACTATTCCTACACAAAACTTACAAAGGTTTATACCTATATTGTTTAAACTAATATTTCTGCCCCCCCCCCTATTTTTATGGTGTACCGTAACAAATCATATCTCTTCTTCTGTAATTTTTGGCATTTTTTAAAATAAATTAAACCACATCAAACTACATATTTTTCAAAGTTTTTGGGCGTGATGACATCCATAACTCTGTCACCCTAAGATGATCTAAGCTCCCCAAAACTAACCATGTTTCTTTTCTGCTTTGCCTCAAACAATTGTCACAGCACTTAGTTCACCTTGCGCTCCATCCTAAATGCATCTCTCTCTCGGAAGGAAGAGGTCGATTTTTGCTTCTTCTCTTTACGCGACCTAAAACTTTCCCGCGTCCCGATAAAGCAACGCCCCGTGGGGACCATCGAGCGCAGAGCATATTGCCACCATTAGTAACCTTGCGGCGGCGTCACTATAACGACCAGAAGAAAGACGCGTTCATCCTTTCGACAAAAGATCCATTAGCTGTATATATCGCTGGCGCTCTTCCTGAGCGGAAACGCCAAGGTAATGCCCCGCATATCAACGAAGAACAATAACAAACAAAAAAGCGCCCCCTGAAACACGGAGGCGCCACTCCGCTTAGCACCGGTGTACGGCGGCAAAGCGCCGAACGCAGAGGTGCTTTCCCACGTAGCGCCGGAGTAAAACGGAAAAGCACCCGCTGATACGCGGAGGCGCTTTTCTGCGTAGCGCAGCGGTATGGTGGCAAAGCACCCGCAAAATCGCAAAGGTGCTTTTTCCATGGCATGCGTGTAAGGCGTCAAAGCACCTAGTTTTATTTCGGAGGAAGATACAACGCCTCGTATGGGCTTTTCACTTTCGCGTTTCTCTCTTTCTCCCTCTCTCTTTCTTTCTTTCTCTCTTCCTTTCTCTCTTGCTGTTCGCGACATCGATCGTGCTTGAGAGTGTTGTGGTGGTTGTGGCCCGCATTTCGGAGTGCTCGCCATGCAGGTTGCCGGGATGAAAAACGCACCGAACCGTGTAGCCTAACCAGGGTAAAGCTTGGCATCGACCGTGCCCGCTCCCCGGTCCGTGCTACGGAACTTCTGGAGCCACTACTGGCACCACAATGAGCAGGTGTGGTGGAGACAGAACTGTACTCTGTTTGATTACGCGCTATCTTGCCGAACCGGAACGGTCTGTTGACGATGATTGCCGACGAACAAATGACCTCAATTTCGCGAAACCGCTAATGATTATGTTCTCGGACTCGCTTTTAATAATCACCCAACATCACAAAAACACCGCTTTCAGAAAAGTTTGCTTGAATTTAAAGAAACACAGAGGCGATTTCAAGACTTTATGACTGCGAGAGGAATCAGAAAACGATGCTGTTTCTTCTCAGATCTTTAGGCGATTATTGTTTTTCTGTCCAAAGGTTGCTTTGAAGGACCAAAATGCGCATAAAAAATGGCAAGCATGTTGTCCCGTCTGGTTCTACGTGCATACAAGCACGTGCGAGATACTCGTGAAGGTATTGGGGCCGCAGTACACCGTTTTCAAAATCCATCAAGCAACATTGGTGATCGCCATTGCTTGGAAACGAAGCACGTGATTACACCCGAGTCTTCGCCAAACGCTGGCGTCACCCTCGTGTCCAATAGAAGTGTAGAGTATGTGATCAAGCGATGGCGGACAGGCGTTAGCGCGAATATTTGGAAAGGGCCTGTGGCACGTTCATAATCATACGGGTAGAGAAATGGCGGCGGCCAGAAGACTCTCTTGAATTCATCTGTAGAGACAAATTATCTCCATATTTTCTTTCTTTGAATTTCTTCAAGTGATCCGAACTAGTATCTCGATTCCGACGACACGGCCAAGTGATCGTCCTAGAACCGGATGTAGGCGAAAAAAGTAAGAAGAAGCAAGTCATTAATCGTGGACAAACACTTCTCAAACCTTTAGGATTGTGCAGTTCGTGCATTCGAAACAATTGTGTCAGAGCTATCCTCCTTTCGTGATTCTCATTTCGTTTACATCGCCGCGGCAGTTTCCACCTCAGTTTCAAGTCTAGGGGGCGATGCCGCAGGTGCCGCACGTGTTGATTCTGTTTTTATTGATCTCTGAGTCTGAGACTCGTACCGAGCACAGAGAGCTATTATCAGCGTCAGTGAGCGGGTGTCGTCCACAAGTAGCCGTCATCAAGTAGAAAATCGTTGGACCTCAGGGTCTATTCAGCGTGAATATCGGTCGACCCAGATACTGCAAGACCCTTCTACATGTTCATTGATTTGTAGTGATTGACTCAAATTTGTTCATCTATTTGTTTATTTCTTCCCTGCAGTTGATGGTGTTTTTAAATGAGATTAGTTTGCAGTTATTGACTAAGATTAATTTATGATTATTTATTTAGATTTAAGCTGGGTGAATATATTAGCCTTTTTTTTTGATTGATTCAAATAATTACATTACTGCTTGACTCGTTACTGATCAATTGATGTTGATTTATATGAATTCATTTACTCATCGATTTATTCACATATTCATTGATAGAATAATTGATATATGGGCTTTGGTTGGCTGGTTGCTTTGTTGATTAATTGATTTATTCATAGAAATTGTACTTACTGAGAGATTCTTTAGTTTCTTGATTAAGATCGATTTGCATTGACTGATTGATCAAGGTTTGATTTCCCGATTGATAGCTTTATTCACTGATTCAATTATGAATAGATTAACCGGTTGAGCCTCCTATTGACTGATTTATTGATGAATTGGTTGTCTGATAATTGTGTATTCGTCCTTTAATGAACGGTCCCATCCGCAGAGTGCCGGGAGGAAGAACCCACCGGCGAAGTCCCGCATCTCCATGCGGTTGGCGACGAGCAGCGCCCGACACTTGACCAGTTCGCGGAGCAGCATCTGAGTGCAGCACACCAAGTTCACCAGCTGCTGGGAGTCCACGGGGATGCCGTCTGACACGGCGCTGTGGAAAGCAGAAAAATGTGGCGGCGCCGAAACGAAAACAAAAAATGACTTGGAGATTATATATGACCGCTGATTGGCGTACATGCTTGACGCCGTCGAGACAACAGAAATTCGACTGGATCAGGTGTTTACTCAGATGCAATGGATGTGTGACAGCACTTTGCGGGTTTTTTTCTTTTAGCGATCAGCAGTTGCAGTGGAAATAATATGTAATGTGACACGTGGTGAAGGAATAGACCCATCTCACAGTCAGTTTAGTTCCGCCACCGCTGCAGCCATTCATCGTGGGAACTATAGTTTTTTTACTGCGTGAGCGATAACCCTGCTGCAGTGAATACTCCCTATACCAAATTAATAAAGGACCTTTCTTCGCTCTTGTACGAGTCGTCCTCCTTAAAGGCATTACATCAGTCTCTCCGAAATTGCGCCTTGCGTACAAATCTACCCTTGATGTTCCTGCGGGCACACCACCTTACTCGTGGCAGTTCGTGCCCTAGTAGGCTGCCCCCGTTTCTACGCAGCGGACAGGGAGAAAATGGGAGTGCGTCGCTTACGCCCCCCCCCCCCCTATTGTACACGGTACTAAAGAAAGTAATCATGCACTTACAATGACAACTGGTTAAAAAGTATTCAGTTACATTACTGGGTTACTTGACAGGAAAAGTAATCGACCGTCACTTAAAATGCAACCGTTACTTTTCCGATTGCTTTTGATTATTAAAACGACCGATGTTTCTACCGGTTTGAAAACGGTGCCTTTTGTAGATTTTGTTATTGAAATAGAATCAATGGATTACAAAATTAGTCATATTCTCATTACGAAACTGGACGAGCTGTCTCGTGAACTAGCGCCTGCCTTCTTTGAACTTTAGTTATGGCGGTGTCAAGCATGCGTGGTACGCTTAGTGAGATCAGTCTATAGACGCTTTGCACACGCGCCAAATTACAGCCGCCATAGCTGACCTTCTCTTGTCTCATTAAGATGCCCAGCAACTGAAACGGTAGTTGACGATCCTGTACAAAGGCCGATGCTTTAGAAAAGGAAACATTTGAATCTAATATGGCAATAACCTGGCCTGCTATGGTAATGATGAAGTGAAATAAACGTAATAAGAGGAAACAAAAACTGAAGGTCAGTTATGGCGGCGTCCATGCACAGCTGCTGCAAAGCGTCTATAGGAAGTATTCACTGGCGGCCATAGCTGTGTGCGCGACTGCTGAGCGCGTGCTGATGGCGAGCTTCCACGGTTCTTTTGTAACGTGCATTCCGCACCCTCAAGATTGCCGATCTTAGCAGCCTATTAATGTGGGCTCGTTCTGAGCACGCGCTCTTGATAGCACCCACAAATATGGCGCCCAGTGAATACTCCTTATAGCACGGTGTAGTCTATAAGGACTATTCACTGGCGGCCATAGCTGTGTGCGCGAATGCTGAGCGCATGCTGATGGCGAGCTTCCACGGTTCTTTTGTAACGTGCATTCCGCACCCTCAAGATTGCCGGTCTTAGCAGCCTATTAATGTGGGCTCGTTCTGAGCATGCGCTCTTGATAGCACCCACAAATATGGCGCCCAGTGAATACTCCTTATAGCACGGTGTAGTCTATAGGGACTATTCACTGGCGGCCATAGCTGTGTGCGCGAATGCTGAGCGCATGCTGATGGCGAGCTTCCACGGTTCTTTTGTAACGTGCATTCCGCACCCTCAAGATTGCCGGTCTTAGCAGCCTATTAATGTGGGCTCGTTCTGAGCATGCGCTCTTGATAGCACCCACAAATATGGCGCCCAGTGAATACTCCTTATAGCACGGTGTATTCTATAGGGACTATTCACTGGCGGCCATAGCTGTGTGCGCGAATGCTGAGCGCGTGCTGATGGCGAGCTTCCACAGTTTTTTTGCAACGTGCATTCCGCACCATAATGAAAGGGCGGTCTTAGCAGCCTATTGATGTGAGCTCGTTCTGAGCATGCGCTCTAAACAGCACCCACAAATATGCCGTGCAGTGAATACTCCCTATACCAAATTAATAAAGGACCTTTCTTCGCTCTTGTACGAGTCGTCCTCCTTAAAGGCATTACATCAGTCTCTCCGAAATTGCGCCTTGCGTACAAATCTACCCTTGATGTTCCTGCGGGCACACCACCTTACTCGTGGCAGTTCGTGCCCTAGTAGGCTGCCCCCGTTTCTACGCAGCGGACAGGGAGAAAATGGGAGTGCGTCGCTTACGCCCCCCCCCCCCCCCCTATTGTACACGGTACTAAAGAAAGTAATCATGCACTTACAATGACAACTGGTTAAAAAGTATTCAGTTACATTACTGGGTTACTTGACAGGAAAAGTAATCGACCGTCACTTAAAATGCAACCGTTACTTTTCCGATTGCTTTTGATTATTAAAACGACCGATGTTTCTACCGGTTTGAAAACGGTGCCTTTTGTAGATTTTGTTATTGAAATAGAATCAATGGATTACAAAATTAGTCATATTCTCATTACACCAATTTTGGGAGATCATCATTCCGTTGTAGACTCGGTTCGAGGATTCCTTGGTGGGAAACTTGTAGAAATAATCGGCGCCGGGGGAGAGAAAAAAATAGTACCGGTTGCAAGTAATCTTAATACTTTCAAAAGCAATCAGAGAACTATTAGACAGTTTTAGTGGACCGTACGCTATAGCTTTGCGTACGCAAGGAGATTGCGGGTCGTGAGTGCGCATGCGCAAAACGCAATGGAAGGGCTAGCGTATCGCGTACGCACGCAACGATGGGGATTTTGCGTTGCTGTCTAGCGGGCCTTGCGGGACGCTCTCGAGAGATCTCGGACCCAACGAGAGCGCCAGTTTCAAGATGGCGGTTGCCTCGACTGGCGCAGCAAGGGCGACGTGGTGTTTTCGAAGTTCTGTGTTGCGTGAAATTGCGTGGTGTTCAGCTCGACGGTTCTTTCTGGGGCCTACCGCGGTCGAATCAGATAGCCCTGCAGCTGAAGGAGTGCACAGAGGAAATGTTCGCCGCTCGCAGTGTGTGTCAACGCTGCGATCTGTTCAACGCTAAGCCTATTTCCACAGTTCATCGCCGACGGACGAACGTCTCTAAAAGAAATCGTCGAAGTTCTCGCTATGCACTGGACATTAGGGTCATGGATTTCATTCCGCGATAGCATTGATAAAAGGTGCCGTTTCCACGGGATGACTGACGGAAGCTCCGTGATCGAATTTGGCTACGCACTCGTACTCGTAGCCTCTGTACCCCGCAGAAAAACGCGCTTGACGAGGCAGCTGTGGTTTGGTTTAATCTGAAATAAAATGATGGGACACTTTTTCTTTTTCAATATTTCTTTCCAGGAGCATGGTGCGCTATAAGCGCGCGGGATTCTACGACTCTAACAAATTTAACCAAGATCATGCGCGGTGTTCACTGGAAAACGTAACGCACAACTAAATTCGGTCCGAGCAGGTCATTTTTAGCGTACGCTATACTATTGCGTATTGCGTACGTAAGATCCAGCAACGCTATACTAAAACTGTCTATTGTTATTACTTCTTAAAAATTCATCTGTACTCCCTTGCCGACACTCTCTCCCATGGCCTTGCTGTGATGCGACCAACACTGACAGGAGCAAACAATGTCCATGCAAGATTCCCACATAGGGTTGTTGCTTTTAAAAGCGCCCGTGCTCTTCTCCCCAAACGCGAAACGTCAGCGGAGTTTACCCGACGTCATATCAACGCTGTCCGCTGATTAGACTATAGCATCGAATGGAGGATGACGTGGTGCTGGTGTGACCCAATCAGCATCAAGTCAACCTTGCGTTACCTAGCAGGTGTTTGGAAATGTGTACTAAACAAATCACGGATTGCCCCAATGCTTTTGTTTGTTGCTAATCGCATTTTTCTTTTTGGCAACAAACTCAGTGGCGCCATTTTCTAATGTTTTATTCATTATTTTTTACCATAAAAGTGAAGTAATTCTTCCAGAAAATAACGTGTATTTATTTGGTTTCGCGAATACTGCGAAACCCGCCGTCTAGTCCATAACCGGAAGTGGTCTGGGGCTGTTTGCACGCTGGCGCCACCACGCTCTAACTCACACGCGAAAGATCGATTACTAGATTTTCTAAATAAGCGTTCCCCGATCTTCTTGTGGACGCCGCCATTTTGGTACTTAGTAAAGAGCGGCCGCCATTGGTGATAATTCCGTTTCGAAAATGCGACATCCTGAGCTTTGGACGCGGTGTCAGAAAGAACGCGTGATATCGTTTTGCTTTGTTACCGACTGTTTTAGCATTTTTAACGATGGAAAAGCACTTCCTGCCCTTTACGAATAAACTATTCCTGAACTGGCTACTGTGATTTTAAGCAACAGGGGAGTAAGATTCACTTAGAAGGGCGAGGATTGAGAATTGTACTTTTGGATTCTTGGCTAGGGGGCGCTAGGTGGCGCAAGTCACCGCCGTTAATAACAGGTGAATCCGAATATAAAAAGTGAATGAGGGGTCTTTATTTCGAAGAAAAGCTTATTTGGGGGTTTTGGAGCGTAGTAAAGAAAGCACGAGTTGGCCAGTTTCTATTGTTTGTTGTTTACAAACACGCCGATTACGCACTGTTTACAAACAAATTCGCGTTTGCCCACACCAATCATAACCACTGCGCGCGCACGCGAACCAGATCCGTGTGTGATTAAGCACGTGTGCGTGCGCAGGACCGACAGTAGTGCCACCGCTGCGGCAAGACGTCAAAGCCGTGTGTTGGCGTGCAGCGCGTGCTTAGTGAAGCGCACCTTCGTATGTGAGGAAGCAGCAAGTGCGACGCATCCACGCAGGCGGCCACGCAGCGTTGCCTCAGGGTTCGAATCCGCTGTCTCAGCTCGGGCCCGTCTTGGGCACTGCTCACGCTCAGCAGGACGTCTCGGAACAGGGCCACGCCGACGTTCAGCTCTTCGATCAACTGAGAGAAGCGAGAGAAGCGAAAAGAGCCTTAGACGTGCTCAGGGCTTGTCCGAGGGTTGGCGCTGAATGCTATAATGTTCAAGGGGAGCAGGACGCCGCCATATTCAAGGAGTTTCAGTCTACGTTAAGTCAGTGTTGACTGAAGCCATGATAGCCATGCCTCCAGTCCACGTTACTAGATCGACTCAGTTGTGGAACGGTCCATAGACGCTGCTTCCACGCACGTGCCCCCCTCTATCCAAAAGATTCGCTTCCCGTCGTTGGAAGCGCCGCGATTTGGGAGACGGCCAGTGGCATACCAACTTGCTTTAGAGTAGGGGGCAAAAATCAGACCCCCTCCCCTCGCAACCCCCTCCCCCCCCCCCCCCCTCCCCAGGGCCGGGGGGCGGTGCCCTTGGAATCCCTTGGGCGCCGCCGAATATTGTTTGGCCTGCCCAGTGGCGGTTGTTTCAGGGAGGGGCAAACCAGATGTCTTGCCCCCCACTCTGAAAACTGGGCGGGCAAGCACCCCTTGCCCCCCCCCCCCCCCAGTTGGTACGCCCATGGAGACGGCTGTTATGGTAACTACAGTTTATGCTTTAGAATAGGCAGGTTTTGAAGTACAATGTCTAGATGGCGCTTCACCCTAGCTGCTCTAACAATGAGGTTTTGAAACACAGCCTGTAGATGGCGCCTCAAACAACAGGTGGCGGCTTTGGGAGAGAGAGGGAGGGGGTTGGGGTCCGCTTCTCCGAGTGAGTTCCGCAACTGAGTTGATCTAGTGTCGCTAAATTAAGTTATCATAGACATGGCGATCATAACCATCATATGCGTCATTCGAAACCTCTTAAAGGATTTAAGAAATTAATTTTGGGCTAGCATAAATTATTTTAAATTCTGACTTTTCTAATCGCATATCGTTTAGTGGGCCAAAAGAACGAGGGTAGAGTCAGAAGCCAGCTTTTCGGTACGAACATTAAAAAATATAGCGGACTATTTCGTACCCCCTTGCCTTCGAAAACTCTCCGCCTTTTCACGATGATACATCCGCGGTACCCAAAGAATGTCAGCCGGCCCCAGCTAACGTATTCGACACAAGAACTGAGTCACTCGGACGTTTGCGATTGTCAACAAAAAATTCGACAACGAACATTTGGATTCGCATTCGTGGCCAATGAGTGCCCTTACAGAACGTATAGCTTGCAAATAGAACGCTCTATGGAGCGCTTACAATACGATAACTCGGTGCGATAACTCCAAGCTTGCGCATGGTGCGAGCTTGGAGTTATCGCACCGGTGCCCAAGCATGTCACGACCACGTGATTTCTTAATTCGAGCTGAGGAACAAAGCTAATAAGGAATCTGGAGTTGGGCAATTTGGTACATCTTAGAATCGAAAAGCGCCAGAAAACAAGGACAATAGTCCTTGTTGTCCTTGTTTCCTGGCGCTTTTCGAATCTAATAAGGAAAAAGTTGAAAACCCATTTCACTCCGTTTCAGCATAGTCTGGAAAAGCGCGAAGGTTACGGTGCCAGTGCGTCCGAAGATTGTAATGCATCTCCACGAGTGCAGTGCACCTGGACCCGTACCTGACGTCAGTTTCAGGTCTGACGTCAGATACAGGTACGTCGGTTACAGGTGCGTCAGACCCGTATTAGACACAAGTCTGATGTACCTGCATCTCATGATACAGGTGCGTCGTCACGTGCTTCGCACCGAAGCTCTGATTGACTTTCTGGGGCCATAGCTTTTATGGTTCGCCAAATATGCTAAAAAAAAAGTATTGTAAGGGCTGTTCACACGGGGGAGAAATTCCTCGCTTTACTCTCGGGATGCGCATCACGTGGTAACAACGTCACGCTCGTGCGAGGAGCCGCGCTAACGTAGACATCTCAGGGGGTATGGGAAAGCTTTTGCTCGGGCCTCACAAATGCTCCCCGCCGTGGCGTGAGATCTCTTTGCGATTGAAGGTATTTTACTCGCGTGTTTGGCAACTTTACAGATTTTGCTCATCAAGATGCCGGCGGTCATGGGCGTACCAACCGCGGGCTTGGGGGGGGGGGGGGGGGGGGGGCGGGGGAGGCGGGGGGGGGGGTTCCTTTTTACTCAAGAGCAAGTTGGTACACCACTGCCGGCGGCGGCATCCGAAACGCCTAACTTGTGACTCGCGCTATTGCGCATGTCGCCCGAGGCACCCGAAGGCGTCTTCGATATTCATCACTGCCGTCCTCAAGCCGCTCATCATGCAACTGGTTTTTGATTCCACGTCCTTTGTGTTGCATCCACTTACTCAAGAAGCATCTTTCATTTAGCAGGAAGCAGTTCGTCGCACTCTAAATCTCACAGCGTTGCTGCCCTAATCGCTTATCGCCCCCCATTTCATGCCCCCCTCCTTTTCTCTACCCTTGTCAGAACGCACCGAGCCCGTCTGTTTAGACTGCGACCGCTAAATGCGTCTGATAACACTGACATCACTCTCGGCTAGGTCGCGCAAGCTGCCACCCGTTACAAAGGGTATAGCCGATACCATCCATCCGTCCATCCATCCATTCGGCCGTTCGTGTGAATGCTTGAGTCTGAAAGGGAGTCCTGCTAGTTCCGCCGATCACTGACGTCACGCACATCACTTCCCCGAAAGGCACCCCTCGTATGAATATCTCTCTATGGCGACATACATAATGAGGATCGATTGAGGGTGATTTTGGGGCCATGGGCACCGAGAGATTTGAGATATTCGTTAGAGAGACTTGATTACGGAGAGTTTTCAACCGTTCAATCAAGGTCACGTGGTTTATGGACTGGTCGCGTTTGCCAAACGAGCTGCGAAGAAGTTACAAAACCGTTGATAGTCTCCAAACGTCTCCGCCTTTCTGCCTGCTTTCTCCCTCGTTACACGAAAACGCAGCACCTGCGCAGTTGCGACCAATCTCGGCAGGAGGCGTAGGCCATTAAATTGCAAACGCTCCCCGTGATTTGAGATGGACCCTCTTTGTGATCTAGGCTCTCTAATACTTGTACATGACCGGCGGATATGGAAAATGAAAAGAAGCTAACCATTCACCGCATATATAAACCACAGAACGCTAGACACTAAGTCTCCGCCCAAATGTGTCACTAGCGTTTGCAACCTTGACGCCATGAAGTTGCAGAACTTACCGACGTCTCATTCGAAAGTTAAGAGTCATTTCATAAAATTTCTTCAACAAGGAAATTGTAAATTTTTCAGACGGCGCGCCATTTATCTCCTCCTATTCGCAGGCGTCGTGGGACAGCCATTTATGAAAGTGTCAGAAAACCGTTCACATCTTTTGACTTAAAAAGTTATAATTTCTGAAACTTTGGCATAATCTTCCAAGCGATGGCAGGAGAGACATCTGGTCGAAAACTGAACGTTGGGAGACACCTTGTTTATTTCTGCAGTGAGGAAACTAAATGGTTTTATTTTCTCTCAAACGCTCGTTATAGAGCTAAATATCATAAAACGGAGACAGTGCGTTTAACAAAAAAGGATAAGCCCGATGAGAACCTATATCAATACTGTGAAGGTCCTAATGTAGCCGAAACAATTTCGGTGCTCTTTGTTGTTGTTCTCGTAGCTGTTGTTGTTGTTTCTTGTTCCTTGTTCGTCGTTCTTGCTGTTGTTGTCCTTTGTAATTAGCAAGCACCCATGTTTAACGTCAGATGTTTGGGGCAAATGTTCCTGCTGTACTGATTCGTGCCTGCGGCGTGTGAACGATTTCTCTCGAAAATATCGTATTTCTTCTTCAATAGGGCAGATTTGTATTCTCTGATAGATTACTTCGTGCCACCAGTTGATGAGTTTAAAATCGAACGCGTTGCCCGGGAAACGTTCACATACTTTAATCTTGAAGCGTCGCGTCCCTTCACGTGAACCGGTACCAGTCGACGACATTTCGCACTCGGTAGATGGCACAAGCAGGCGCCTGGCGCTATCCGCCGTTTACTCTTTTACATCCAGGTCGACCACGCTGGACGCGGCCGCCCATCCGACCCAATTGACAACAGGGAAGCGCGTCCACGCGATTTCATTCCCAGCGTCTCGCGGCGCCTGGCATTCAAAGTCACGTGTCACCCTCCCGCTTTCCGATTGGCCCGGGAAACATGGCAGCATTCACAGCGGTCTACTCTGAGGTGAAGCCAAGCATACATCGTATCGACCGGCGCCTGAACACGAAGTTATTACTCCTCTGGGCGTGACACCAGAGAAACCCGCGACTGTACCATTGTTATCTTTATTTTCTTTCATTTCATCTTGTTTTGTGTGCGCGTGTTTTTCTTTTTAATGGACAGGAGCCGTGCTCCGGCCATTGATCTTGCCCCAGAGAAGTGATATAAGCAAACACGCGTTCGCAGGTCGCCAGCCTCGACGTTTTTATTGTCGTATAGACGCACGTCTCGAGACACCTTTGGCTTCATAATTAAACCGGTATGGACCATTTGAGAAATCGTCTTCTGCGCGCTGCCATCTCTGTCTTCGGGGCTCTCGAGCGGGTTCTCGGCCTCTGCAGTAGCTCTCTTCTGCGGAGCAGCAGACGCGTGCGCCCATTGCCCAGTGACACGCCATTCTTTCCCTGGTGGTAACAAGTCGCAGTCTCGACAAGACTGCGCACAGTCGCAGACGCAGTCGCAGGCGCCACTGTGACTGCGCACAGTCACAGTCGCGCACAGTCGCAGGCGCGACAAGAAACTGCGACTGTCCGCGCCATAGAAAGTTTCGAGGATGGTATTCAACTATGCAGCTACCTAAGGGAATCCCTATTCAATAAAGAAGATAGCATTCAAGTGGTCGTCTTCTGCCGGTTCAATGCAATTGTTGACATAACTTTGCGTGCGTGTGCGTGCTTGCGTGTGTGTGAGTGTCTCTGTGTGTGTGTCTGTGTGTGTGTGTAACTGCCTTCAGATACTATGAATATAATGATAACTTGTATGGTCAAAATAATATCACGTCTTGTGTTTTTACCAGCCGAAACTTATTTCAGGGTGTTTATTGCCGAATCC